GGAGCAGGCCCTGAGCACCAGAGCCATTGAGGCCGAGATATACCCCACCAGACGAGACCCAAGGTGTAGGTTGTGCAAAGAGGCACCTGAGACGATCCAACACATAACTGCAGGGTGTAAGATGCTGGCAGGGAAAGCCTACATGGAACGCCATAACCAGGTGGCTGGTCAAAATGGGAAACACCTCCGAAGGTGGTGGAGAATGACAGAGCGAAGATCCTGTGGGAAGATGGTAATGGCGAACCAACCAGATATCGTGATCATCGATAAAGGGCAGAGGAAAGCCGTTGTAGTGGATGTAGCGGTCCCAAGTGATGGAAACATCAGAAAGAAGGAACACGAGAAACTCGAGAAATACCAAGGGCTCAGAGAGGAGCTGGAGAGAGCCTGGAAGGTAAAGGTGACAGTCGTGGCTGTGGTGGTCGGAGCACTCGGGGCAGTGACTCCCAAACTAGATGAGTGGTTGCAACAGATCCCGGGAACGACATCGGACATCTCAGTCCAGAAATGTGCAGTGCTGGGAACAGCAAGGATACTGCGCAGAACCCTCAAGCTTCCTGGCCTCTGGTAGAGGACCCGAGCTGAATGAGGGATGGACACCACCCGAGGGGTGAGACGAGGATTTTTTATATATATATGTACACCTCTCAAGTCAAGTCAAGCTTTCTTGTCAAATATGCTCTGTGTGCAACATACAGCACAGATGAAATTACTTTCCTCTCTCAACCACAGTGCAAACATGCAGTGCATTGAAACACACACAGCTAAAAATAAGTGCAGCAAACTGAACTGCATAAAGATACATAAAGACATAAATATATAAATATGTAAATGTTAATTCATAAAACAATAATTAGCAAGCAGACAACAAAGGACACTTGTGAATATTGCGGGTTAAAGCTTAGGTCGTGAATTGTTTAAGTGCAATAATCAGATGTCAGGAGCTGAGGGAGGGTCACGATCTGTGGCAGGAGGCAGCGGTAGAATGGGGGAGTGCGGACAGAACAGGGAGGGAGTTGAGTCTCCTGACCGCCTGGTGGAATAAACTGTTCTTGAGCCTGCTGGTTCTAGCACAGAGACATCGCAGTCTCCTCCCCGACGGCAGTAGGTCGAAGAGGCTGTGAGATGGGTGGGTGGGGTCACCTGCGATCTGGATGGCTTGGCGGGTCAGACGAGAGTTGTAAATGTTCACGAGTGCCGATATATATATTCACACACACACACACACACACACACACACACACATATACAAACACACACACACACACACATACACACGCACACACACACACACACACACACACACACACACACACACACAAAATGTCGTTAAAATTGGGATGAACAGAATACAATGATATGCAACTCATTTTCATACACTACAAAGACAAGATATTTCATGTTCAAACTATTAGTCTGCATAGCAGAGTCTTTTTTTTTTTTCAAATAATTACTAACAGAATTTTATGGCTGCAACAGGTTCCAAAAAAAGCTGGAACAGGGTCATATTTACCACAGTTTTACATCAACTTGTCTTTTAACAACATTCAGTAAACATTTGGGAAATAAGGACACTCATTTTTGAACCTTTGTTGGTGGAATTATTTCCCATTCTTGCTTGATGCACAGCTTCAGCTGTTGAACAGTCCGAGGTCTCTGTTATCATATTGTACACTTCATAATGCGCCACACGTTTTCAGTGGGAGACAGGCCGGGACGCAGGCAGGCAGGCCAATCTATTCTGTGCTCTCTTTTACTACACAAAGCCACGCTGTTGTCACATGTGGAGGATATAGTTTGGCAGTGTCTTGCTGAAATAAGCAGGGATGTCCATGAAAAAGACATAGCTTGGATGGCATCATATGTGTCTCCAAAACCTGTATGTACCTATCAGCATTAATCGTGCCTTCACATAAAGTTTGTTCAAGTGACCAAAGCCATTGGCACTAACATAGCCCCAAACCATCACAGATGCGGGCTTTTGAACTTTGCCTTCATAACAGTCGGGATGGTTGTTTTCCACTTTGGCCCAAAGGACACAACCTCCAAAATTTCCCAAAACAATTTGAAATGTGGACTCGTCAGACCACAGAACAATTTGCATCAGTCCATCTTGAGCTCGGGTCCAGAGAAACAGGTGGCGTTTCTGGGTGTTGTTGATAAATGGCTTTTGCTTTGCATAGCAGTCTTAAGTTTAAGTTGCACTTTTGGATGTAGTGCCGAATGTCACGGGCATTCAGTGTTGGTTTTCAGCTTTACCACTTACATGCAGTGATTTCTGAACCTTTTGATGATATTATGGACAGCAGATGATGAAATCCCGAAATTGCTTGCAATTGTATGTTGAGGAACATTGTCCCTCACATTTTTGCCGTCTGCAGTCGACGGCAAAGATAGGCCTCTAACTACAACACTTCAAATTGTCATCATATATGTCATTTTGGAGAAGTAGGACAGCAGGAGCCATTTTTCAGAACAAACAGAGTCATAAGTTGACAAAAATATTCAGCAAAGATCAAGAAAAACGACTTCGCATTGTGATTTCTGTAGTACATGGCGATATTTTCCCACATTACTATACATCAAAGTGTCATCATGTCTCTCATCATGTTGAACTAGAAGACGTTTAATCTAATTCATCATCACTGACCTAAAGTTATAAAAAGGCCCACTTTTATCTAAAAAATGTCAAGGAAATTAGTCCACTAAGTTTAATATTTAAACTTTTCAGATAGTTGACACACTCTGGAAGTATAGATTATAACAACAGCAGTGCTGCAAAGACGGCACAGTTACCGTGACATGTCTGTTCTGACTTATGAACCTGTGGTTCATTTTTGTTTTGCATTTGTTGTGTTGCGGTGTTCCCTCTCTTCTTGCATTGTGCCTTTCTCCTTGGAGTAGGTGCTGCGTGTTCAGCTCGCCTGATTGCTGCCACACAGTTGGCCAGAGGGCAGTTCCAAATGACTTATTCAAAAAATCCAACTGCACTCTCTCTCCTCTCCAGCTTTTCCAATAGTGATAGGAAAATCAAGCTTCAAATTGCTTCATGAATCAGTTATTATGTTTATTGAGTCCTTTTTATTGGCTCCTACTTCTCCAAAATTACATATATGATGAAAATTTGAGGTGTAATAATGAGAGGCATTTTTTGCCATCTACTACAGCAATCAGAATGAGAAAAGGTGTTTTACTTGATTTTTGGTGGATATTTTTGTCAATGTAGGATTGGGTTTGTCCTTAAAATGGCTCCTACTTCTACAAAATGACAAATGTGATAAACGTTTGAGGTGTGGTAATTAGAGGCCTCTCTTTGCCATCTACTACAATGATCAGAATGAGAAAAAGTGAATTCACGGATTTTTGGTGAATATTTTTTTTCAATGTAACTATTATTGTGGCTCAAATGCCTCTTATTTCTCCTTAATGAGAGGATATCCGCATATTTTCAGCTTTAGTAAGTAGTGTTGGGTACGATGTATGCCACTGACACTATTGTTCCAATGTGTGGCACTACTTTGTGTGGAAGGATACCGTGTTCTGGGTCCATATAAATAAAGGGGGTGGAGCTTCCCTGCAGTTCGCTTCTGGCAGCGACGGTGCGCTGAGGCACGTCGGATGTTTAGTGACTCAGTGGTAGCGACCACACGGAAAAACAAGAAACATATCCAATCTTGTGCCTCGAACCGAGTGTAGTCACCAGCAATGATGCCTACACATGACCAGCGAGAGACTTCCGCAGCAGTAGGATCAACAAGTAGTGGTCTACCATTTCCAGCTATTACTGCATTCAAAATAGGAAAAAAGAAAATTGGATTTGTGGTGACTCGTCCCACACATATCAACCTCGTACAGGGAATTTGTGGACACTGCCTAACTCAGACAGTAACAGCATATCAAATGGCAAAGGTCCAGCTTTTACTCGTTTATTTTTACATTCAAATATTTGTTAAACGACACTATTCAGTGTGTATTTCCTGCTCTTTATCTCATTCACTTGCACCGTTCCCAGTTAGTGTATCAGTTCGATTCATTTTACTGCAAGAATTTGATTGTGAGAATGTGAGAATATTGTACAGCGAGTGACAGACACAGTCAACCCAGTTGGACTTAGGGTTGTGCAGCAGATAGCATCTAATGCAAACAAGATACATATCTTGTTTCCCGGCAAACGTGCAGATATGTTTCCTCATTCTTTCGGCTCATCTGCATCATCAGACAATATTTTGTTCTGCGTCATGCCAAATGGTGAGTCCACTATGAGAGCTTCGTAGATCACCAAGCAGCACCTTGATGGCGGTCACTTTGTTGTTATTGTGGAGTCTTTTTTTTCTTGTAACATTTGGTTGGTTGTTAAGGTTTTTTTCCTCTGAGTTTTTGAGCCTCTCTTATGTGTTGCCCCTCTTGTCAGGCTCGCCAATCAACCCGCCACAGGTACCATGATGAGCAACAGCACTTCGTGGACCAGTATGGACAGCCAAGTGGCATGCAGGTGGAGGGCAAAAAGAAGCGGGGTCACCGGAGAAGACCAGTGGAGCACAGAACCCCCTCGGAAAGACACTGGGAAGCACTGAGAGACATGGGTCTCGTGGAAGTCGAGGAGGGGAAAGGCACATGCACTGGGTATGTTGTATGTATCGTAGCATACGCTTCAGGCAAGGAAAGACAGCTTTATTTATATAGCACATTTCATACACAAGGCAACTCATTGTGCTTTACACAAGCAAATACACAACGACAAGGACTCACAAACACAACTGTTAATGATATTCAGAAGCAAAGCAGAGAAAACAAAAGTAGCTTACAAAAATTACCAGAATGTACACTGGCAGAATTTAAACACATTGCCAGAAAACTTAAAAATAAACGTTTCAAAGTAAAGTAAATAAATAAAAGTAGTTTTCAAAAATAACCTAAAGCAAAATAATTTAAAATTGTTTAAAGGACCTTATTCAAACTCAGGGGTTTTGTGGGTTTTGTCATGGAGAAAATTTGGCAAGTGTACAGCGATGAGGCGCGGAGACTTAACATTAGTCCACAGTCCCTCAGTCAATAAGGATGCAGAACATAATGCACTGTAAAACAAACAAACAAATGCCAGAAAACTTAAAAATAAACGTTTCAAAGTAAAGTAAATAAATAAAAGTAGTTTTCAAAAATGGGGGGGGGGTGCTGGAGCCTAACCCAGCTGTCTTCGGGCAGTAGGCAGGGGACACCCCGAATCGGTTGCCAGCCAATCACAGGGCACTCCGAGACGAGCAACCATGCACGCCCACACTCACACCTCGGGACAATTTAGAGTGTTCAATCAGCCTGCCATGCATGTTTTTGGAATGTGGGAAGAAACCGGAGAAAACCCATGCAGGCCTGGGGAGAACATGCAAACTCCACACAGGAAGGCCGGAGTTGGAATTGAACCCAGTACCTCTGCACTGTGAAGTCGACATGCTAACCACTGGACTACCAGGCCGCCCAACAAACAAACAAAAACACGAAAAAAGCTCTGTGAAACAGCGAGGCTGTGAAAGATGAACTGTGTTTTGCAAGGGATTACTGGAAATTCAATCACGATTCATTGAAGGTATTCAGGACTCCAACTATTTAGTGATTTATAGACCAGTACCAGAATTTTAGCCTTTAGATTGCAGTAATATGTTCCGATCTTTTTGTTGTGGTCAGAACCCGAGCTGCATCAATCTGAATTAGCTACAGCTGTTTGATGATTTTTTTGAGAGAGTCCAGTCAGAAGAGTGTTACAATAATCAAGTCTACTGAAGATGGATAAGTTTCACCTGGTCTGCTAGGAGCATGGAACCCTTAAGGCTTGTAGATGCAATCCGACCGTTTGCCAACCCTTCGCACACGGGTTCTTTTCTTTCTCTATAATGTGGAATAAAGACCCAACACCACATGTTTTCTTCACTTTAATCACAACACAATACAAATCGATTCAGGCCTCTGTATCCTTCATACGTCGTCAGAGCGCCCAGACAAATACAGATACAAGTATATATAAAGACAATACTGTATGTTCATGAGAGGCGGACAGTCACGGCCTCATGCAAAACAGTAACAAAGAAAGCAAAATGCAACCTTCTCCGGTGTGGCTGCAAACGTTGGGAATGGTGGGGTGAGACCAGACCAGTTCCCCCTTACTTTCTTCAGTCTGACCTTTGATGTGATGGCAGCAACATAGATATTCGAGATAAGAGTTCCTTTTTGACGTTAAACATGTTCTCCGGAAAGTCCTTAAAAAGGTGGGTGTGAAAAGGAACAATAAAGGAGAGTAAGCAGGAAACACTTCAAACAGTATAACGCCATTCTTTCTTTTAAGAGTTGGAACAGCGCCAACAACAAAGGAGGTGGTAAATCACATTAAGGGATGAATTCCTCTCCAGGCTGAATACTGTATGTTTTTTTGGCTGGTGTAAGGCTGTTTTGGTGATTGAATTGATATGATTGCTGAAATGAGTCTGAGTCTGTCCGAACCCCAAGATTTTTGACTTGGTCTTTGGTTTTTAAAGGCAGTGACTCCAAGTGTTTTCGAACAGCAATCCTATTTTTCTTTATTGCCGAAATCAATTGCCTCTGTTTTGTTTTGGTTTATCTATCAATCCATTCTCCGAAGGTCATGGGCATGCTCAAGCATATACCAGCCGTCTATGGGCAGTAGGCGGGATACACCCTAAACTGGTTGGCAACCAAAGCTGAAGGAAATGTTTTATTTATCCAGTTGTTTATTTGTTGTAGACACTGACACGATACATTCATTGAACAGGTGTCATTTGGAGGCATTAAGAAATATAGCTTTGCGTCATCTGCAAAACTATGAAAGCCAACATTGGCATTCTGAAGCATCTGACCCAAAGGTAGAGATGGGCAGGTGAAGTTTCATGAATATTTTAGGCTTTCCTTCAAATTGTCCTGAACCAGATTTGGAGCTTTGGTGATTCAGTGAAAGCTACATTAGGGACATCTTGTGGATGGGTCAGGTCAAAGCAATCTCCATCACGAAGCGGGGTACGATAATGTCCCACCTATTAGTCTTTCATCAATAAAAGTGACAATAAATAAAAAGTAATGTGACTGAACAATGTATCATTTACTGAGTGCTTTATAAATTGTCGCTGTGTTGGTGTTGTGTGCATCTTTATTATAAAGGGATTATTTCTGAACAAAAATTACAAAAGGGTAGAGGGAAGTATTTACAAGTTTTCATTCAAAAATAATTTCTCCACAATGGAAGGTTTTAGGTGGCTTCTTTTGACACTCAGCAATTCTCCAGCTTTTGAATATATACACACATGGCACCGATGAAGCTGGAAGACAACTATTTTCACGTCACTATCCACAAGTGAGGGTAATGTCCTGCGAGTGGCCCAGTACTTCAAAGCGTCTCCTGTTCTTGGCAGATGTGGCTCTTTCAGATACCTATGAAAACAGGAAAAATTAGGATGAGAGAAGTCAGCATTATACAGCACATTTGCAGGTATGTATCTCTGGATTTCCACTGTGGCATTCGCTGTGGCACTGCCAACTTGATTTGCGGCATTAACGTGGTGATCAAGTGGACCCCAGAAGCTGGAGTCATCCTCCACTGGGCTTGCCAGGAAACTTCCGGTGGTAGAGAGATGACTTGTGGTGTGGCACTGGAACTCATAACAGCAACAAAATCCCTTATGAGCTTTTCCACTGCAGTTTGAGCATGACCTGCAAAATCCAACAGCTTTGAAGTGCGTATCCAGTGTTTGTGCCACTGACAGGGGGTTTACAATGATCCATCGCTACTTCGCGATTCACTTATTCCGGATTCAGTGCATCGCGGATTTTAAAAAAATATTCATTAAAAGAAAAAAAAAATAGCGAAAATGCCGCAAAAGGTCCGTGAGAGGTAGCGAAAATCAGCAAAACAGCGAGGCACATAGAGCAACACATACAGTACACCATGTATATTTCATGTTTACTGTATTTTGTTATTTATACACTAACATATATATATATATATATATATATATATTCTTTTAATGCTATATCTATATTCTTTTAATGCTATAGCATTAAGTAATGTTAATTACTACAAACATTGACTTCTACATGCACGTATACCATTAAATTTGGCCTTATAAATATTATATATGTACTCAAGGCTGACCAACTTTAATGATCACATCAACCTGCGCATCATCCAAACCATGTTTTCTTGGCACTACATTAAAAAAAGAAAGAAAAAAAGAAAATATGTCACTCAGATGCTCACATAGTTTCCATAAATCACTCAACGTGTCACATTTATGTTATTTTACAGGAAAACGTGCATACTTGCAGACTGTCCAAAGATGACAGACTTGTGAGTTTGTTGGATATGAACCTCCTCATGCCTCAAATGCAAGTGCCATAGCATGGACAGGGGATTATTTGCTTTGTTACGGCCTCTTTGGCTCAATAAGAGACAGCAACATCTAAAGGGTGCCAGAGACAGAATGGAGCAGGCAAATGACACAGCTTTGTTTTGGCCTATCAATTAATTGTTCCCAGGTGTGACACCAGATAAGCAGTAGCAGCAGGACCTCCCACTGGTGGCAAGAGGAACTGCACACAAACCCTCGCTACCACGCCAAACAGCTATATGTCAATTCCTGCATGCGCCCGAGTCGGCAGCCGTCAGCAAATGCTCTTCAAGAGCCTTGTTTTGTTTTGTTTTGTTTTTTTTTTGCGGGGTCACATGGTGTTTGGTATTACGTCGTGTGGACCTGATGTGGATTGCTTTTCAGCGTTTTTTTGGTCACGACTTTGATTGGGAGGAATGTCGGCGACATTTGACTGTCGGTGCTGGACAGCCCCGGAGCACTTGTTTTTTGCGCCTGCACTTTCCACAGCCCCGTTTTGTTCAGTGGAGATGTGGGCGCTGTTGGACAGTCTGCGTAGGTGCGGCTGGATGGATGGATGGCTGCTGGAGCTGAGCATGAGGAGAGAGGAGTCGGCGTGGAGCGCGGATGTTTATTCGGAACTGGGATTTGGTGCTTGGAATTAAAGAGAATTTACATGGGACAGGAGATGTGCGCAAAGCTCTTTTTTCGTCAATGGACCCTACAGCTTCTTGTTTGCTTTCAAACTTAGCTTGTAGCCGACATGTACACATTTTGAGCATGACGTGTCTGATCCACTAGTGAAAGGACACTTTGATTCTCTCCTCTTTCATCTAGAACTGCTTCAAACAACAAAGCGTATGATGGAAAAGTGGTTAAGATTGCACGACTGTCCGTGTTTTGATTTTACGTGCTGTGTTTATGTCAGAGATTTTCTCGGACAAAGTTAAAGAAATGACTCGGCACACAGGAAAATTGTCTTCAATATCGGCGGGAGGGGATCTCTGAGAGAGAACGACGGTAGTTGCTCCGATGATCACACTCTTGAGCTCCCTTCCCGCCAATTCCGACTTTTATTGTAACATACAAGGAAAACACTGCCCCCGACATTTGCATACCGCACCCCCGGTCCGGCCCCTCGGTAGTGATTGGTTACCTGAGTTTAAGCTTTGAACCACCAGTACATTGGCGCCTTTCTGCCTGGTCCACACTGTATCAACATGTTGCAGACTTCGCGGACGACAAATGTCGCCTGGG